GAAAGGTTAAGGAATTTCTTGTTGAGCTGGTTTAGATTTATATCTTTGGTATCTTATCGTGATCGGGTGTTGTTTTGGTAAGTAAAGCCCTAGGGTAGCAGCTGGTCGTCAATTTAACATGTGCAGGAAGGAAACTGGCGCAGACTATAACATACTGAGATATCGAGGTTGCCCAGCGACTGTGCTAACCGGAATACTCTTCCGTGTGTGACAAAGATATTATATGTAGACTCTGATGACGTTACGAAAACTGCCAATTTAGTACCCTCAGTGTGAAGAGACGTTGTCACAATACTCGTATATCACAAAACACTCATGATAGCACCACTACTAAGGCATGAGAAAAGAAAATGACGAGAATCTCTTCCTAAACAGGAAACAAGGCATGAGCTTCTACTCCTATTCAAGAGGTGGAAAAGTATGTACACCTATTAAAAAAAAACAGTAAAACAAATACAAAAAATGCAAAAAACAAAACAAAAACAAACAAGTACAAAAAACAAACAGAGTTGGTTCTGATTCTGATTTCCAGTCATTTCGAGGAATCAACTGTCAGTTAGCGGACATTTGACAATGCCACGTTTAACTGACATTCTAGTATATAAGGAGGAAGAGGAGTTAATAGGAATGGGGTATCAAAATTGGTAAATCATCTTTGCTGCGAAAACCGTCAAGCCAAGGTAGATGGTTAGTGTGTGGTAGTGTAGCAGTGAATCTACACTATATGGAAAGAGAAGACTGACATCGTTTTAATACAGCATTTCTGCTATTACGTGGTCTTTGAGGTGAATTCTTCTGATTTTCATGGCCGAAAGCATACGACTATATCTCACTTGGGACGGGAGCTGATGTTCTTGGTGGGGTGAATGGCTGCTTTACTTAATCAACGTACTTTTCTTTCGGCTTCAAAGGAATTTGAGTTCAGCCCATATACCAAGACCAACCACAAAAACACAAACGAGTGGCACGTGAGTTTATATATATATATATATATATATATATATATATATACACACACAATTGAATGAAATGAATTAAATGCAAGTTTGAGTTTGTTTTCTTTTAGGGGCGAGTTTTAACTTAGTATGAGGCTAAGTATCCACTTTGCTGCGAAAACCGTCAAGCCAAATTTCTCCATTCAGTTATCCATTCAGGCCTATTAAAATATAGTATCGAGAATTAAGACTAAAAAATTACGCTAGTAAATTTTGCAGGTTTTACATATTCACAGGCGTATATATATATATATATATATATATATATATATATATATGAGATGAGGCAAGCACTAAAGTAAAATATAAACAAAGAAGGCAGGAATGTGAAAAAGGAAATAATATAAAAATCAGGAATATAATGATGCCGGAGAAAACAACAACAAAAAACACACAGACAAAAAAGAATTTAAATACATTAAAAGTAAATTTCAACGAAACCGATGATTGCCGAAAGTTGATTGTCCAGTGAATTGAATGAATATCAACTCAATAAAACCTGGGTACTGCCAACATTGAAGAAAGGATGAGTGTATATAAACTGTGGAAGAATGGTGTAAGGTGTAGGGGATATATTAACTGTGGTAAAATCGTATACGGTGTAGTGTATATTAGATCATGTAGGATGGTGCAAGGTACAGGGGATATTAACTGTGGCAGGATGGTATACGGTGTAGTGTATATTAGATCAGGTAGGATGGTGCAAGATATAGGAGATATTAACTTTGGCAGAATGGTATGCGGTGTAGTGTATATTACATCAGGTAGGATGGTGTAGTGTATAGGGGATATTAACGTGGGCAGAATGGTATACGGTGTAGTGTATATCAGATCAGGTAGGATGGTGCAAGATATAGGGGATATTAACTGTGGCAGAATGGTATACGGTGTAGTGTATATTAGATCAGGTAGGATGGTGCAAGGTATAGGGGATATTGTGGCAGGATGGTATACGTTGTAGTGTATATTACATCAGGTAGGATGGTGCAAGGTATAGGGGATTGTAACTTGCGCAGAATGGTATATGGTGTAAGATATATTAGATCAGGTAGGATGGCGCAAGTTATAGGGGATATTAACTGTGGCAGAATAGTATACGGTAAGATATATTAGAGAAGGCATGATGGTGTAAGGAATAGGTGATATTAGCAGTGGCAGAATGGTATACGGTATAGTGTATATTAGATCATGTAGGTTGGTGCAAGCTACAGGGGATATTAACTGTGGCAGGATGGTATACGGTGTAGTGTATATTAGATCATGTAGGATGGTGCAAGGTATAGGGGATATTAACTTGGGGAGAATGGTATACGTTGTGGTGTATATCAGATCAGGTAGGATGGTGTAAGGTATAGGAGATATTAACTTTGGCAGAATGGTATATGGTGTAAGATATATTAGATCAGGTAGGATGGCGCAAGGTATAGAAGATATTAACTGTGGCAGGATGGTATACGGTGTAGTGTATATTAGATCATGTGGGATGGTGCAAGTTACAGGGGATA